AGGTACTCACCACCTCCTTTAACCCCAGCAAGGAAGGCATCCAGGTGTGCGGACTACGCAGAATGGGGGCCTCCGGCTACATTGTGGAAACCACTAATGCAGCGGAAGCCGAAAAAGTTCTCCGTAGCGCCGCACTCCTGAATGCCGGCCTGACGGCGTCCCTCCTGGAGAAGCGGAACCCTGAGGTAATGGTCCGGGGCGTCGACTCCAGGATGGAAGACGGGGAGCTATCCGAGGCCATCTTCGCCCTCAACCGGGACCTCCTTCAGTCCCCATCCTTGGAGGAATTTAAAACGAACTTTACCCCACGCTACAAGGTGGGGCCTAAAGGAGGCGACACGGTTGGCTGGGTGGTCGCGGTATCTCCCTCTCTCCATAGCATTCTCTGCAAGGTCGGCAGAGTCTACGTCGGCTGGAGTCGGTGTCCCGTACACAACCACGCGCGAGTGATGCGATGCTATCGCTGCCTTGGCTTTGGACACACACAAAAACACTGCGTTGACACGGAGGACACGTGCGGTCATTGTGCAGAAAAGGGACACCGTGCTGTGCTTTGTCCTATTAAGAAAAGCGGGGCCCCCCCTGTATGCGTCAATTGCAAAAAGGATGGCCGACAAAGCCAGCATGATCCGCTGGGCAATGACTGCCCACGTGCAAGAATAGCGCGCGACAGGCTGGTCAGCAGCACAAAGACACTGACCGACAATGGACAGTGAAACCAACAGACGAACTGACAACGGACAGACCAGAACGGTACCTCACCCCACACGCCAATTCTCTCCACTGCGAATACTACAACTCAATATGGGCAATAGCAGATTGGTATCGCCCCAATTGAGTAGTATTATCCGCCGCGAAAGCATCGACCTGACGCTGGTACAAGAGCCATATTCCACCAGGGATGGAAATCTTGCTGGGATTGGATGCATCATTAGAAAATCGACAACACACGGCTGCAATTCACCGAGAAGTGCTGTCCTGGCATACAATCCCAGGACAACATTCACGCAACTCGGCCACCTGAGTAACCAGCATGTAACATGCGTCGAAGTTCACAGCCCCGCTGTGAGCTTCTACGCAATCAGTGCCTACTTCCAATACTCGGATCCCACCTCGAAGCATCTGGAGCACCTCGCGAATTTACTGCGAGGGTTGAGAGGAAAGAACGTGCTAATCTGTGCTGACGTCAATGCCAAGTCGACCCTCTGGGGATCCCCTGCCACTTGTGACAGGGGTGAACTAGTGGAGGACTTCATTGCCGTCCACGGATTACACGTTCTGAATCAAGGCGACGGGCCAACCTTCCAGAGCTCGAGGGGGGCTTCGAGTATTGATGTTACTCTGGTGACCGACGGATTGCTGCCGTGGATAACAGACTGGCACTTACGAACTGACGAAACGACAAGCGACCACGCCCTCATCGAAATAAACATCGGTGCACGGCGTGTAGCTCGGACAAGGACAGGACAGGTGGGTCAACGTCTTGTGAGGTACAACATTGAGAAAGTGAAGTCTGACGTCTTTCAGCAAACCCTAACGGAGGAGCTGCAACGCGTCGCTGATTCTCAACTTTGTACCCCACAGGACGTAAACGATTTCACCGTGGAGTTAACAAAAGCTCTCCACAACAGTTGCAAAGCATCCATGCCCTTAAAGCGGTGGCATAGCAAGCCACATCCTTGGTGGACAGAAGACCTCACGCTTATCATGCGTGAAGTCCTTCGACTCAGGCGTACGTACCAGCGAGAGGCAGATCCTGAGCGAAGAGTGGAGAAGCGAAAAGCGTACATCCGGAAGAAGGATGAACTTCGGAAGAAGGCCAGACGCGCGAATCGACAATCATGGAGTGACTTTGTCACTGATGTCGGTAACCGCGAGCCTTGGGGTATCGTCTACAAGACAACTACAAACAGACTGAGCACGGAGACAATTTTCAACACAGTAAGGGATGAACGCGGCGAGGCCGTCTCTTCCATGTCTGAGGGGGCGGAGCTCTTTTTAAAGGCCTTCGTACCTCTCGAAGGACAAGCAGCAGCAGTTGACGCCGGGGAATTCCCCCACAACGAACCAGCTGAGGATGAAGCACCGTTCACTGGAATGGAGGTCTGGAATATAATCCGCCACCTCCCCGCCAACAAAGCACCTGGTCTCGATAACATCGAGGTCAAGGTGGTGAAGATGGCGTGGCCGTGGCTGGAGGTTCCATTCCTCCGTCTGGTGAACGCGTGCTTGGAGCTGGGCTGCTTTCCGAAGGACTGGAAGAGAGGAAATCTCCGCTTCATCCCTAAAGGACGGGACAAAGACTTGACCGAGGTGCGATCGTACAGACCGGTTTGTCTTCTCTCTGTGCTGGGCAAAATACTTGAACGTCTTCTTCTGGGAAGACTGAGAAAGACCTCCCTCGGGCCGAATATGCTGTCCACGCAGCAGTTCGGCTTTGTAAAGGGTAGGTCGTGTGAAGACACCATCGTTGAAGTCCGGCGGATAATGTCTGAGAAGGAGGAAAGGTAAGTCCTCGCTCTCCTCTTTGACATTACCGGTGCCTTTGACAATATAAGGTGGCCGTTGGTGTTAAATGGGCTCTCCAAAAGAGGCTGTCCGAACAACCTCTTGGCGGTCATGGGAAATTACTTCCAGGAAAGAGTCATGACCCTATCCTGGAATGGAGGCACTGTTTCACGCGCATCCACCAAGGGATGTCCACAAGGCTCGGTGCTTGGTCCATGCGCCTGGAACATTGCCTTCGATGGGCTTCTCGAGACTCTTGAGGAATTACTCGGCAAGTCATTTGCAGTTTATGCGGATGACTTGACGGTAATTGTCTGCGGAGACTCGAGAAGAGAACTCCAGGATAGAGCCCAAGTGGTTGTCGACA